GGATGAGTTTGAACGGAGTTATGGCTTTAGGAAAGTAAAAAAACTCGCACTCATCACAAATTTTCCTCGTTAATTTTGCAAAAATCCTCAACGTGGCCATTTTTTGAATACTGGACGTATGAAGCTGCTTTAGCAACCGTTTGATAGAGAAAATCTTCTAGTTTTGTATGACGTATCAACTTTTTGAATTTGACGGAAATGAAGCAAGTTATTGCTCCGGAAAGTGTAAAAACTCGTGCTCGTCTCGAATTTTCCTCGTTATTTGATCTAAATTTGTTATTTCTTATAACTTCCTGTAATTTCAGTACTGATTAGAAAGCTCTTCACAAAACTCCAAATCTGCTTTCAGATTGAAAATTCGTCATATTTGAAGAAAGTTATAATCATTTGAATATTTGTTCAAATTTCAATAGTAAATAAGCTGCTCCACGGTCAACGCCAAAGTCCAGTCAACACACAGCTGGCGAAGGCGGTTAAAAAGCTTCTTTCAACTGAAGGGGGACGTGCAAATTGAGAACCACAATCTGTGTAGTACTAGAATTTGGTAAGTCTTGTGGAGGAAATAAATAAAGAAGAGATGTTGTCATAGTATGCCATTTTTAGTGGCTAGTTTGTCGTTTTCTGGTCTGTTTCTCGTTTGCTCGTTTGGTAGGACTCATCAATAATGATTATTCTTTGACTTTTTCACTTTTTTAATTCTTAAGCGAATTTTTTTGTGGGCGGTGGGGTAGCAGGGCTTTTTATGAGCAGTTTTGGGGGAGAATCAAACACAAGCTTTTCAACCTTTTCATAGTTCGGCTTTTGAAGAGGGTTGTTTCATGGACTTCGGCCTCCGGCGGAGGGTGGTGGGGGGGGGTCGTATTTCCAAATTTTCCTCAACGCCTCGCTTGACCCTGCTAGCAACCCGCCCCCCTCGGGTCAAAACCCTTCACAACCCCGCCTTGCCATCGCCACCATGGGCTCGTTCCTGGCCAGTCGACACAGCCCAAACCCCACCCACTTTTCTACTCCAAAATTACCGTCGAGCGGGAGGCTTATACGCACCTCGAAACGGCAAAATTTTAGCGCGCCAACCAACTGCATCATGACACTTCCGCTTACTTTAACCCTTTCCGGACCGCGCACTTTTCACGTGGCGGGCGCGTGTGGCCGGCGCCTTTTTATGCTCACCGTCGCGCGCTACTCAGCGAGCATAAACATCATGTATTTAATCTGTATTCCCATAAAAACCAATATTATTCTCGTTTGTGTCTTTCTCATTTCTTAAAGTATATTTGTGGTAAATATAACAGAAAGCCGTCCTGTAATAAAAGTGACAGGGCCACACAAAGGAAGGCAGGAGTGAAAATTGTTCAAAATAAGTTGTAATGAGGAAAAAGGGATTAGAAAGTATCCAAAACTTTTAGGTTCAATAGTATCAGCTACGACGTGTACAAAATGTCATGATTGCTTTTGTATGAATTGTTTTCAAATGAGTTATAACTGTTTTCTTCAAGAACGAAGTGGAAGTTAACTTAGTTTTTCTTTAGTTTAGGACCTATTTCGAGATTGTAGTCCAGATTTTTTCATACGTACGGCATAAGTATGTTACATAGATATGTAACAACAAAAAACATTTTGTAGAAAAACCGAATCCTCGCAAAAATTACTCCTTGAAGTCCCTGACACCCCATGTGTGTCAGGCGGCCACAGGGAGCAAATTGGGCCTGACACCCCATGTGTGTCAGGCGGTCCGGAAAGGGTTAATACTACCTATTTCGTTCGAATAAAAACCCCCCTTGTTTTTTGCAACCCTCAAATTAACGACCCCCCCACGTCTTGACTTTGTCCAACGCATGATTGACCCTGCCTCCTAGCCACTCATCTATTCTTGCCCCTCTCTTTTCTGCTGTCTCGGTCTCAATGACTAAACAAAGGTGAAAAACTGAAAAAAAAAACTTTGAACTTTGATTCGAGTCATTTTCAACAAAAAGTGCATAGTTTTATTCAGCTAACGGTGTCCCGATGACGCATGATAGTTATTGCTAGCAGATGATAAGATATCAATAAGGAGTGACGTATAAAACATCTCTTGGGAAAGTACTCGAAGGGGCAGCCGAAGTGCCACGAGCCATCTTCGGAAGAGCTATGAAAGTGGCCTGTGTTATGACATCCGCCTCTTGACGTATTTTCCGGGGGAAAATACGACCATCAACTATGAGTGCGTGGCGCGGAAGGCTGACCACAGAACAACTTACTAATGTTTGGCTTTTGACGTGAGTTGAGCCAGCTGTAAACAGAAGGTCGACAGACGAATCATGAAAACAAGGTTCACTCTGTGATATGGACAGACTAAACTTCAAGGGAATCAGCTTTTTTTTTCTTCAAATGACAGGTCCCGAACCTAGGCCGGGCTTCATTGAGGAATACCCAGCATAGATTTCAGCCAGCTTTATTTAATTACCCGAGACTTAGGTGCCGCGCTTCAATATTTTAACAACACTAGCATACGTCATTAATCAATAAGGCTACTAATGAGTACTAAGGTTCTACTGCACTATTACATGCTTATGGGAGCAAAGTTTGGAATTTGCTATAAAAGAAAATAACGAATAAAAGAATAAAAGCGTTCGTTCGTTGACCATTCCGTTTTGCGATGCGCATACAAAAAAAAACCCCAAACAACCAAAAAAAAAAAAAACAAAAAACCCACACCAACGTCCACTCCCACTCGCAGCGGCCATTCTGGAACGCCATATAGCCCTATACCAAATAACCCTATCAGAGGTCGCTAGCAGTGGTACAACGAGGTGTTCACTTATCATCTCAAGACCAGTCCTGGTCACCGAAGTAAACCACTGGAGAATAGGCTCGTCTGGTCACGACTACGCACTACCCAGAATTTGATCCCCGGACGCGTTGGGAGCAGCGCCATCTGCCACTACACAGCTCCGCCTGTGTCAAGGGCGCAAAAGTAATTAGAAAAATCTGCCAAAACATTTCTGAGGAGCATTCGGTGGTTATACGACCATGACATTCGCTTTTGATACCGGCTTGATAACTTGGACACCAAACAGGCCAAACTAGCGTCAAGTGTCCCAGCGCTAAAAATGAATCTCATTTTCGTAATCGGGTACTGCAAAATCTTCGCAAATAAGTTTCTAAGCACTACTCCTGGATCAATCTGAACCCAACTTGTCCCCGTAACTCTCGTCATGCGTGCAAGACCCCTCTGAGTCATCTATTTCGGTTCTTGCTTTGTAACTCTTAAATTCTGTAAAAAAAGATAATGTAGACACTGGAGATTTGCAATTTCACAAAACAAAAACTCAAAGAAATATTTTCTAAGAATTTTACGCGGGATTTGGCGCTGACGCTCCTTTTGTACCAATTCTGGTACAGCCCTGGTCTCATTTTCCAAAAATTTGCTTTAAAGTGATGAACAGAAACAGTACAGTACCCTTATAATAAACATTCAATAATATTATATTATTATGATATTATTAGGGTCTCATCCAGTAAGGGGGGCATCAAGTGGCTGCCTCCTCCCCCCCCCCCTAGACTGCCTACACTCCCCCTGGCGCACAGGTTTCTCGAAGTACGGGACCCCGTGAGCCAGGGGGAGTGAAGGCAGTCTAGGGGTGGGGGTGAGGGCAGCCACTTGACGTTGCATCACAATGCCCCCCTTACTGGATGAGACCCTATTATTATTATGATATCATTAAATGACGCCAAGTGTATGCAAAATTCGCTCATAATTAGGCCCTGTTCAGAGATGTCCGCCGGCGCGAAAAAACGCACAGGCGAAAATCTCCGCCAAGATTTAGATACGCATCGACTGAGAAATTGTGAAACGCGTAAGCGAAACGTCCGGAGCAGGCGAATTTCAGTCAAGAGTTTGATATGTATCGACTGTGAGAAACGCACAGGCGGAAAATCGCGTGAGCGAAGCGTTCGTAAGTCGATGCGTATGATACTCATTTTCGTCGATCCTCCCACTTCACGATTCGCCTGTGCGTCTTCGTTCAGTCGATACATATTTCACATTGTTTCGCCTATGCGTTTTTTCGCGCAAGCGGACATCTCTGAACAGGGCCTGAGGCGAACGAAAACTGTGAAGAATGACCATCCGACGACAGAAATGAGTGCATTGGGATGCTTTGCAAGTCGGTCGGGGCGGACCGGACACCGCAATTCAAACGATCGCCAGCTGTCTGACTGTCCCCACCAGCGCTCTGCATCTAATACGCGCGCCAACGCCGTGCACCTCAGGGAAGTCCGACGATCGATTCCGCATCCGAATGCTGTGCGAAGTCGGTATACTCGCATAGTTGCGGTCGTCCGACCTCTGATGACTATGCAGCCGCCCACTGGCACTGCTCGGATCACGCACTGGACTATCCCCTCTGGATGGACTTGCAGGAGGAAAGTTTCTGACCTCTCTCGTGGGGGGCGGGCATTTGCGGTTGTAATAGTGCAATGGTGCCGATCGCTGAATATCCCTTACAATGAAGTTCCTCAGAAGTTGGGTTCTCGAATTTCCGAGATTGTGATAGTGTGAAAGTACCAAAATGAAATTATTGTGGATTTATTTCATGGAGAACCTCTTCCGTCACATGAAGAACTATTTTTGAAACTGACAATGAATAGAATGCGTGAAGTCCGGATGGACGCGCTCCAGTGCAAATCGCTCGACGCCGTCGCGTTCGCTCCGCACGGAAGAATTTAGCGATTGCTTTTTTCACATTAGTGTTCGCAAATTTATTCCCTACTTTTCAACTCTTCATTATTAATTGTCTTTCGCGTGCCCATTCAAAACTCCCTGCGTGTTGTGTGTTTCGAACTTCGAAATATCTACCTAATGAGGTGGTTTTTAGGCGCTGTCTTCGTTCGCATTTAATGAGCCATCCGCCAAAGGCAAAAAGTAAGTCATTTTGCGACCATCTGGTTAATTATCTATGTGAATGAGGTTCCAGTAATAATTTCAAGCATTCTTTTGAAAACAGGCTGACTTTTTTCAGATGATCAGGTCAATACTGATTTTGCACAACCACTTGAAACTAAGGTGAGCGATTTTTTGTAGTCTGAACATCTTTGAGTTCGATTGAGTGGCGGCAAGAATCATGGAATCCGATTTAGGTGTACTACTACTTAGACGACGACGCGACTCCGTTCGTATCAGTTCTTCCAGTACCTCCGGACTTGGCTACTCTTAGAGATTTTAAGAGAGTTTTCACCAAGAAAGGATTCAAGTACTTCTGCAAAGGATTGGATGCGGACATAAAACGGTGTGTAATGTCATCATTCAAACAGCTTCTATTTTACGTTGTGCCGTGATTTCAACCTTCTTTAAATATTCGAAAAGAAATGTGAGGTTGCGCAAATATGCAGCGAAATGTTTGGACCACACTAGAGCTTGCACGCATAGTTATTTGCAAAAGAAATCTTTGTATCTTCCTTTTCATTGGCAATCTGGTATTGAGCTGCTTGTCGGTAGTCGTTATTGGAAGACCCGTGTGGCAATAAAATTTTGTTTCTGGCTCACTATTTGTGGCTTTTTGGTTTTTGGTTAGCTTCTCGAAAAGACCGCATCGATCACTGATGGTTAGATACATATGCTTACAATACTTATACCCATTGGGTATAAGTATACAGTCGCCAACGCAGTGGTTCTGCCGTCTGTTCCTCGTTTGCCTGCATTTCCTCACATAATTGCTTTATAAACCGGGCGCGAAAATTCGGCTCAACTACACTGATAGCTCATCTAAAAAAGTTCAATCCATTGTATTAAAATTTCATCTGCATTTTACATACATTT